AGCGGGGTGACAGAGCCCACCGGCACCGAAACCAGCCGGTGCTGGGCCCTGCCCCCGGCCTCCCTGACTGCTCGTTCCGCCTGCACATCCAGCCCTGAGGCAGGAGAGCCCTGAACAGCGAGGAGACCGCTCTCCCAACTCCTGAAATAAAGGTACTTTGCGAGGAGATCCGCTCCTGTTCCACTCTGAAATCGCTGTCTGCCCGGCGGTTCCTGCCGGTGAGGACGGGGAGCCCTGACAGCTCCTGAGCTGAGGTGCGAGGGACCAGCATCCACGTACTCTAAAAAAAGTGAGCACGCAGCTGTGGTCCACGAGGTGTTACAAGTTTAAGGGGGATGAGGATGTATCTCTTAGCAATTGGTTCTAGAATTTTAATTATTCCCTCAAACTTGGCTAGATATGTTACTAATTTAGGCTTTTTAATCTAAATATGCCTTACTTATTTGAAAAAAATCCTGGAACTTAAACAGGTTATGTAATGAGAGACAGTTCTGCTGTCAGCTGCAATCGTGAAATCTATGTCCATCCATAAAACTACAACCAGAATTTCTAGAGAGGGTGGAAGTGTCCATTTTGATACAACTGCAGCACATTCTGGTGTTTCATTTCTGTAGTCTGTACCTCCAAGCTGTACAGATGGAGAAAACTGCACAGATTCCCTTCATTTCAGACCCTAAAACACAACCATTCACATTAACCTTTCACTTTCTCTCTCCAAGCTGGGGATGAGAAAAGAGGCATCCCTTAGGAGGCAGCTTGGCCCTTCTAAATCACATGTTGTCTAGATAATCTGTCCCCTCACACCCACTGCAGAATGGAGGTCTTCAGTCTGTGGTCAACTACTGTGTCCAGATGGAAAAATTACTTCCAAAATATCCATGACATGTTACTAGGGATACAAAGCTGATTGTTAAAGTTTTCATGCAGAGTTCTGCTATCCAGTAGAAAATTTGTAGTGGCCTTTAGTAAGTCAAAAAAGCTTGAAAAACACTGTTTAGCAGGAAATTAAGGTAAATTGGCAGAGGCAGCACAAGTGCCTAAAGTTGGATGGATAAATTCAGGCTTGTTCTTACTCTTTAGATTGGGCAAATGTTATCTAAATCAGCCTTCATAAGCTGCTTCTCCTTTTGTGATATTAGGGGTTTTAACATATCTCTGTTCATACAGTGTTGGTCATTAGCAGTCCTAATTCCCCTGCCATCTTCCAAAAGATTACCAAACCTTGCTTCAACACAAATAATGAGTACTTAAGATTTCTACACTGCCATCGACACCTTTGTGGAACAAACCAAGTATGAGAAAATCCCTTTCATTAAGAGGTTGCGTTTCTCTCCAGGGCAAAAATAAAAGTTGAGCAAATCTTACAGACATTTCCAAGTCTAGAACATGAACAGAAACTGATCTTAGATAACTAGTGCTAAGAACCATCCTCAGTTCAAATATCTGTTTTTAGAACCAGAAAACTACTGATATTCAGCTTACACAGGGGATTTAAACATAAGGTATTTACATTTTTCTGTCACCTAGAAAGAGGTTGGATACTGCTGATTTCAGAAATAGGTGGTGTACAAGCACACAACAGGCTTGACCCATAGAGGTCTGACTCCCAGTTTAAAACAAACAAGCAACTAAATGTACAACAGTAAGTCTGGAATCACCAATTAAAAATATAAGTTAATAAAGGGAAGTCTTACTCTGACTTTTCATTATAGTAAGACAAGAAAATAGTAACAGAAAGACTCAAACCTAATCTCAGGTACCTATATTGATGTCTTACAATATCTGATTGTATAAGCTATAGAACAACCAGATCTCATACTGCATTTGCTTTGAAAAAGAGAAAGTAAAACAAATTAAAAGTGAAAGTGAAACTTGCCTGAAGCTGGAGGGTATGACGGAGAATGGTGTCCTCTAAAGCATGAATCCACTTCTCTCTCTCATCAGCATCTCGAGCTGAAAAAGGAATCAAAAGATACTGTTAAATTATATGCAGCATACTAAAAGCCATAAGCAAACAGATCTAATGTCGTCACTAGATGCAGAAATTAAACCATAGTATCTTTGTGAAGTCACCAAGGACATAATTCCACAGTTGTCTTAATATCCTGTTTATTTTTCTGTGGTTACAGCTCTGTAACATTATTGTGTTAATCTACTCTATGGTACAGGGGAGATCTTTTAAATAATCATGCAAAAAGCTTTTATGCTTTGGTAGAAACTTTGCTCTACTAATGACTCTGTACCATGTATGCCAAATTAAAAAAAAAAAAAAGGTAGAACATGATAAATATAAGAAAGTTCTGAATTATTGCTATTTGTGATTATTCTCTGTGTGGACATAGTTAAGTTAGCCTTTCAGATATGGATTCATAAGACAGGATGAACACCAACTCTGCACTTTTACTTTGGTAATTTAAAAGAGTTACTTGCTGTGCTCTAACAGTTGTTTAACAATCACAGGAGCAGAGTTAGTGGACTCCAGGTGAAGAAAGAAGAGAAAAATCCACAGGCATTTAACAGACTAAACAAACAGGACCACATAAAGTTTTAGAACAGTTACTGACAATTGTTTCTAGTTCCTCATTCAAGTGAAAGGTATTTAAAATTAACAGGAAGCCTGCTTAGAAGCAAGGAAAGCTGAAGTGAGCTAGCAGCTATTATGAAACAGAGAACCAAGATTCCTATCTGACTTATTTGTTATGGATTTCAGAGGAAATATCTGTAAGTTACTCTACTGAAATGTACTCTCCAGACCCCAAACACTTTGTTTTCCATGTTCCCTTTCTCACCCTTATGTTTCCATTGCTTTTATTGTTTGGAATTCTGCAGCTCAAACCCATCCATACTCAAAACCACCACAGGTTTTCCAAATATGTTAAATAAACCCTCCTTTAGAAAATTATGTATTACCTTTTCACACATCCATTCCTATAAAGGGTATTTAATTGGCCAGAGGAAGGGCTGAGGGGAGAAAAATCAGAAATCCATAGAATCTCTGTCTTATGCCCTCCTGCCTTTAGGAGGAGGAAGCTGTAGATTTTTCTAGGCTCCTCAAAGTTAGGCTTATCAATATCAAGATGAACATGCTGCATTGTTTACTTCAGTATACAGACACTAATTATGGCAAATTAACAAAATCAAAGAACTGATAATGTATGTGTTTGTGAGAAATACGTAAGAAGGTCTGTTTAATACAGAAACTTATCCAAGTCTAAGTTATTAGGTGGCCTCACAAAGTAGTGGGGCAAAACTTCCACTACACTCAAGGTGAAAGCAAAAGCCTAGCTTGAAATCTAGCTAGTTTCCTACATACTATAAGTCAATCCCTAATAATTGTTATTTTAAAATAGTAAAGTGTGTTCAATTGCCACAAGTATTCTGGTAATGATACCATCAACCTGCACAAATAAAGACTACACAAAAGGGAAAGTGACCACCCAAAGTGCTGTCATATAAGCAAAGGAAGCCTGGAGGATGAAGCTAAAGTAATTAAATGTTACTTTGAACAGCAGGTAAATAACTTCCCTGCAGTAACTTCATCAAGTATTGAAAAGCTGGGGTTTCACCATCTGTAATACTCTCAAAAACTCATTAGAAACACCTTGTAACATACACAGGTTCTTCCTACTAGTTCTCTACATTTTAATGGAAAAGCTTAAGTAGGTGCTGAGGACAAGTTTGTAATGAGTGAAAATAGACAGGATGAAAGGCAAGAAACCTTATGAACTCTGCTGAGATGACTGCATGAAGGCACATCTTGCTATGTGCAAATTATGATTTTTCACCTTATGTACACAAATGCACACACAAACAACTTACTGTTTTTTCCATAGCATAGCTTACACTTTAACACTCATTTAAATTACTGAATTAGTCAATCAGGATCAGGCATCTTCTCCTCTGACAGTAATTTTAATGCTTATTAGCTTCTTTGATTCTCCTTACCAAGAATAGGCCCCTTGACAGACATATTAATCAAGTTTATGATTCCTTACACCAGTCACCACTGAACAGTTAACATATAAAGTTACCTATGTCATTCATCTATCAGTACTTCAACTGTGTTCAAAGTGGCAGTGGTTAACATAATTAAATGTCTGTAAGGTTTCTTGGGTTTGTTTTCTGTCTTTCTGTCTTTTTTTAATCAATCATTTCCCAGTCCCAAAGAACATCTTACTGGGGAGCTGGGGTACAAGTCACTGAGGAGCTACTAGGTAATTCATGAGATGCAAAAATCCTGAGTGATTCAAGTTTTTTTGCCTACAATTATTTAATCCAAAAAAGGAACAATTAAGCTTCAGATCAGTGAATTAATCCTTGTTTTGCAATAGACTTCCTATGATCTTCCATACTGCCAGCAAAAGGAGGTCACTGTATTAGTTAAATACTAATCTCAATACACAGTAGCCCATTAACAAAGGTTATTACATCAAGACTTCTCTAAGAAACACTGACAGAACAGAGGCTGCTTAGAGCAACAGGGGAGGCCTAGAAACCAGCCAAGCAGTGCAGTTCGAAAACTGAACTGGCTTTCCCATGCTTATAAATATTTTGAAGCTTCTTTTCCTCCAATAGCCCTTTTTATAGCTCTTTCTACCAGGGTTCAGCCGACGGAAAACACTGTTATTTTTTCCTCACATACTTGACAATGCAAATTTATGGTATAGCATCACCAGTCCTTAGGTAGAACTACAACAAAGTCTCAGACATGATAAATCCAGAAGACTGCCATGAGAAGACTGCTTACTGCATGGAAACACACAGCAGTGAAACCTTTTAAGCACTCTGTTCAGGACACAGGTTTAACTTTCAGATCATCCATCAACAGCAGGTCCTCCTGGCTCTCCTCCAAACACTCTTTTAAGAAAACCACGGAGAAAACAGTAGGATGCAGTTTTTAGTAAAGCAAGCTGCAAGAAAAGTTATATTAAATCTAATCAAAATGGCTGCTGTGAGATTAGGTGCAAGTAAAAGCTCTCTAATGGTAAAAGCAATTTAGAATTGAACAGCTGCCAAAAGATCACTGATGAAAAAAAATCAATGGGAACATTCAAAAAAGAGATTAGCCAACACACTCAGAAACAATTTATGGGAAAAATCTACACACAATAGTCAGAGATCACTATCTACCCATCTGTGGGGAAAGCTGGATATCCAAGCCGTTTTTATTTAAAGAGGACAACTTTGGCCAAAGAAAAAGCTCTAATATATTTTCATCTAAAAAGTTTGTGATGTACACTACATAATCCCCACTCTGCATCAGCAAATGCTGGAGCCTTTCTTCAGCAGACAGGGGACAAGAATGCCCTGCTCATTAGTCCTGAGTTCCTATCTGAAGTACCCTGAAATCAATCCAACCTTTTTCATTAGTTGATCAGGCTTCATTTGAAAGCTAATTCCACCTCCACCTCCCCAGCTCCTATGGGAAAACTACTCCAGACTTTCTTTCTGCCAACAGATTTGGGGTAAGGCAATTACTACCCAGTCCAAGGAATTTCACTAATATCTGTGCTTTTATGAAAATGGAGGAATGATACCTGCTCCCTCCTGACACCAAACTTCTAAAAAGAGAAGGAAGATAGGGGGCAAGAGAGAAAAAGAAGTTACATTTTCCCTGGCTGACTCTAGAATAGCAGTATTACAAAAGACAAATAAGAAACACTGAGACATCTACATAATAAATAGCTGGCATTTAAAAAACTTACAGGCATTACTTCAGCTGTTTATAAGTGATTCAAGTGTTTTTATACTAATGAGAAAAAGAAATCAAATAGAGGAGCCCGCTACACTACATGAATAATCACTGTGGTTCTTAGTCTGATGGGTTAGTGGAATAGTTACCTTGTCAGCTTGCATTCAAATTGTAGTAGGGCATCAGCTGTCCATAAAAATATCACTGTCTGCAGTGAGAGAACAGTAAGAATTCCTGTGCTTCTCTTTAAGGGCCAGGCTAATTAACTCTTAAGTTTTTGCTGCAATTTTCCCATAGAACCAGCTAAATCCACTTAAAGCGATATATTCACTTCTGTATACAAATAGTGACTTAAACATTGCAAATTTACCACGTCAGTTAAGCTACTGTTACATCATTCTTGTAAAACGAGTATTTATGAGATAGATTACATTTTGTTCCCTTCTGGTCAGCCTTTCTCTCCTGTGTGTCTATGGTCCATCCATCCTTTGAAAGGTATTATTATGACATCTCAGGCATGTCTGAGACAACCGCAGGGTACTTATCACAGTCACAGTCCTAGTAATGACTAATTCAGAGAAGCACACTTTAAAAGTATGTAATTTCAGTACAGTAAGATTTAATATGGTAATAATATTTTTAAAGACGTGCATTTTTTGAGATCTGTCTGGTTGTGCTTCTTCCTATCATATTTTAACATCCATTTTTTACTTTAAAAAATTCTTAACTCTTACCTAGAGGAGGTACAAAGAAAGAAAAGCACTTAATTTAGTAAAGAAAAAATTACAGGATGGAAAAAGCACTAGAGACATGTATTACTGCTTCCACAGAGGAATTTTGGTGATTCAGAAAAATTATGTTTTACAACTCCTAGAATAGTCCCTTATGTCTGAATTTCCCAAACTGCCACATCAGATGTGGCAGAGATTTTAAATAGTTCAAGTATATGAAGATAAGAAGGCAAATGAAATGCAAATACATTCAACACACCCAGCCTCTATTAATTTCCTAAAAAGAGAACAAATTTTGTAATTTAGAGTTTCTATACTGTTTAGTTTGTTGTGAAGAGAGTGTGTGTGTTTATATAACATACACCAAATGTTGAAGTATAGTATAAAACAGATTACTTTTCAAGCCTAAGCTTGACAGCTTCAAAAGATTATATATAAGCAAGTTTAACAACTCTGCTCCACAATACAGCATTTACCACTAGCATTTCTAGGTCATGCAGAGCAATACTTGGAAGACAGAATATATAAAA